GCGCAACAGCATTGCTACAGGGGCGGCCTCCAGTAATCACTTGAGCGGCAGTCGCAAGCATGCCTTGCTCGCTGCCTTCAAGACCATCGACGATAACAAGAGCCAAGATTAAAAACAACAGACACACACCCACACACACACATACCCCTCAGTTAATTTAGTTTCGAGTTCCAGTTAGTTACCTAAGCGGTGTTGAGTTACATGTATATTTTTTAGAATAAATTTTTGCATTGCGCCTGCCGCTGGAGCAGCTGCAGCAGCCGACGCTGTACTAAACAGTCCTCTGGGCGTAGTCACCAGTTGCTGCAGCTGCTCCAGTCGGCCAGTGTAAATTGTGAACCAAATGTCTCTGTGTTTCGTTCTTTACAACTTTATATTTTGTTGGATCTCATTTTGTCTGCTTGCCGCGCACTTTACTGATGGCCCTGGAGACTTTCTTGCGCAGCTCCTTCTGGCGCTTCATCTTGGATGCCTCCTCGGATTTCTTCTTCTCGCGGAACTTCTTCATTCGCTCCCGGGTTTCCAGGCGATCCCTATTCTTCTTGTCCTTGTAGTTCGTCGTGATCATTTTCATCATTTTGGCCACCTTCTGCTCGTACGGCGAGTTGATGACCGCCACTCGCTCCAGCGACTTTTTAGCGTGCTCCGGCGCCATCTTGGGCTTGTCCTTGTAGGGAAGGGCGCGCTGCAGCGCCTTAGGTATAGTCAGGGGACGGAAGATCTTCTCCTTGCGTGTGATCTCTTTGTACATGCTGTCCAGCTGGGCCTCGTTCTGGAGGGCGCGCTCACGCTTTAGTGTTCCCAGGGTCTTCATTCCCTGCCAGTGGCTCTTCTGCTCCGGCGGCAGCAGCAGAGACGTGATGGGGGCATAGAACCGAGGAACCTCCACCCGAAACCAGGTGCGGCAAAACACAATATCGCTCAGCAGGATCTTGTCCTCAAAGGTGGCTCTGTAGGAGCCTTCGGGCGTGTGGTGGGCCTTCTTGATCTGTCCTCGAATGCCGGAGACCGTCTTGATTTTGGCTCCCTCGAACTTGGCCACTTCCAGCGAGGAATTGAACATGTCCTTGACAAAAGCGGTCTTCTTGTAGATCTTGAACGGATGTCCCACCAGCTTGAGCTTCTTCATGATCTGCGAGGACTTGTCCAGCTCGGTGACACACCCCGTGGCGGCAATCCGGAAGCCCAACCGCTTCATCTCATCCTGATCCTGACGCACCGTCTGCAGGGCCAGGAACCCCGTATTCTGAGGCGTGATCGGACCCCAGAAGGTCATGCTGCAGGTGACATGATTGGGCGTGTACTTCAGATAGCGATGCCGGAAGTTATCCTCCACCTTGGCGTAAATGGCGACCGTCTGGAAGCGGCGCCAACCCATCGAAACGATGAGCGGATCTCCCGTCTTGAGAATCTTCTTGTACCAGCGATGCTTCTTCACCTTACAGTTGACATAGCCCACATTCTCCTCGGTCATGTTGAGGGCACCCACCAACACCGGGTAGCTGGCATCGAAGTGCTCCACAAATTCCGCTGGAATTGTTTTAAAGCCCAGCCGGACATACAGCCCGGGCCGATAGCCCTCGATCTGGATGCGAAACTCGTTGTCCAGGTGCGCGAATTCGCTCTTGTTTAGCTCGCTCTGTTTCTGGGCATCCGCCTTGAGGTCCTCGTAAAAGGAGTGATCGCCGGTGATGCGGCCAGTCTCCTCCTCGCCGCCCTTCTCCCCCGTGTTGTCGTACTCCGCATCGAATTTTGCCTTCAGCTTCAGTTTCTTGGCCATCAGATCAGCCTTTGTTAGGTTTTCCTCCTCCACGCGAGTCATCTTTCGCTTACCACTGGCCGAGGATTCCTGTGGCCTGGCTTCCTCCTTATCGGAGTCGTCTGCATCCTCTGGCTTGGTCTTGGGCTTGCCGCTATGCTGCTCACCGGTTTCAAGATCCTCAAAGTCACCGTACACCTCGCTGTCGGCATCGCTCATGTCGTCCATCTTGAGCAGGTTCTCTGCATCCTCGGAGGCCTTCCATTTGCCCGTCACGAAGCAGTTCTTGATCAGCAGCTTGTTGTCCTCGCTCAGCCAATCCCGAGTGGCATCTGAAAAAAGGGAAATAGTTGCCATTTAAATAGGTTTTCAACGTGGAATAATGTCTAGATCCCTTACCACCCTGATACTCAAAGAAGCAGCGCTCTTCCTTGTCCCGTATGTCTTTGTCCTTTAGCTGTTCACTTTGCTTCTTGGCGGCCACTCGGAACAGTCCGCCCAGCTCTTCATCGGAGTCGTTAGCATCCTCCTGGTCTCCCTGGTCCTCTCTGCTCCTCTCGCTCTGATTGTAGACGCCATAGACGAGGCGCATCAGATTCTTGGACTCCGAGTGACGCTGCAGGAAGGCATCGCGTGCCTTTTGGGCCAGATTCGTTTTCCAGCTCATGTTGCTGGCCAGAACGCGGACCTCCTCATCGTCCTCCGTTTCGGAGCCAGTCGGGATATTGCCCAGGCTCTGATACTCTTCATCACCAGAGGAGCCATCTTCACTGTCTGCTGCCTGCCCGTCCGCATCCTCATCTTCATCGCTGTTCTCGCCGCGCCAATCATTGGAATCAAATTCTTCCTCCTCCTCATCATCAGAGGCAGCTGCCTCCAGGCCGGAATCTTCGCCCTCGTCGTCTTCGCTGTCGCTGCTTTCTGCCGCTTCGTCATCGCTGCGGAAATCCTTCGATTTGATGGGTGCACCATCGGAGAAGAGGCGGAATTCCTGCTGCTCCATCTGCTGGTCCATGGTGGCTTTCTTGTCGATCAGCTTGTTGACCAGCTCCTCCTGCTCGGTGGCCTCGGCACTCTTCTCCTTGTGCGAGTGCGAATGCGAGCCCTGCAGCTCAATGTAGACGGCATCCTTGTCGTAGACAATGCCACCCACACCCGACATGGGTGCGTACAGGAGACGTTCCTTCTCCAGCAGACTGCGTTTTTTTTCGGTGCCAGGCAGGGGACAAGGATCGGGTATCACGCTCAGCTCATCGATGCGTGCATCCCCCAGCCCGGCAATGTGCACCATGTGCTCTTGCTTCAGCGGCACTCCGCGCACATAGCCATAAAGCACCACCTCGCGGTCGCATTTGGGATTGCGGCGCACCTGATCCGTATTGGTGACATCCTCCATGCGGTCCACCAGCAGGTAGCTGTGGGCCCCGCGCCACTGCAGCGGTCGGAACTTCATTACGGATATGAAGCGGCCCAGGTTCTTAATCTCGTTACGCAGATACTCGCCGTGCAGCAAGCCGGAGAGGTAGAAGAGCTTGGCCCCATCATACACCTCCGTCCAGAAGCGGTGCTTCAGCTCCTTCTTGCGCTTGCGCAGCTGCTTGGGATTCTTGATCATGTCCAGGTGGGTGAGCACGCCCATGATCTTGGGCATGCCGTGCACCTGGCATATGTTGAGGAACTCGAAGATCTCCATCTCGAAGCCGTAGCTGGCGTCGCAGAGGAGCAACACCAGATCCGCGCACTTGGCCACATCGATCATCGAGTTCACGTCGTTGTTGCACTCCAGCAGGGTTATTCGTCGCTTCTTCGAGGTCACAATGGTGATTGGACCCTTGATCTCGGTCACATTGGTGCGGGTGAAGGTCTTGATTAGGTCCTTGATCACCGTCGTCTTGCCCACCTTTGGGGGACCCACGACGGCAATCAGCACCGGCGGCGGCTCATCGGGCGTCTGGTCCACCACAGGTATGTGCTGTTTCTTGGCAGTAAGATCCTCCTTGCGTCGAAAGTTTCGCTCTGCACGCTGCGCGGAATTGATGGCAAAAGCCTTGGGATTCCGCTGCCTGGCCGTCAGCTCGGGTTCCTTTTGATTTGAGTCTAGTTTGGCCTTTACCTTCTTCTTGTCCGCCTTCACGCCGGATTGGCGGGCGCGGTGCTGCTTGCGCTTGTCCTGGCCGGCGTCGTCGGCCATTGTTACAGCGGTTAAACTAAAGAAAATTTAATTATTTGGCTGTTTACGCGCTGCACGTGTTGAACAGTGTGACCGTATTATCGAATAATTGTTATTTTTTTCATTTTGATATTCGCTTTAGTATAACCAGCTATCACTAGACCCTCAGCACAACCGACAATCTAATCAATTGTATGAAATGGCTAAGTATTCCCTTTTATTTGATGGTTTAAAAAATAGGGTTTAAAGAATAGGGTTCAAAAATTTCCAATTTGTACATGGCAACTACACGGTAACAACGTAATTGGTACATTTGTACTACATATTTATGGCGTATGGATATTTTGTCTACCCTTTTTTTTAAATTAATATTAAAATTCTGCTTTCAAAGCTGTCACTTTTTGCTTTTAATAATATAAAACAGATAATCATTTGCACTGATCATTACATGCATCGTCGTCACTCTTTCCTTCGGGCACTTTCCTGGGCATTTTGGAAGAGCATTGTTTTCCCGCTCAAAATTATCGAAACTGATTTTTTCTCATTGACTTTGACCTGAAATATTTTTAGTCTTAGATCTATTTCTTATATTGGTTTTGAATTAATATACCTCCGAGAAATATGTACATACATATGTATATGATATGTATATACCATTCTATACCAAAAAATGTATGAAATACACCAAAAATATACCGAAGGCTATATTTATTGTATACTGTAAATTGCGCGCCAAGATTGAATTGAATTGAATGCAATCCACCGAATACTCAATAAAAACCTGCGCTGGAAGTTTCTACACCTTATTTTCTTTAATATCCCTTTAATAATGAAATTTAATTCATTGATGAAAGATAGTTGTGACTGCCGGGACTCTTCCACATTAAATTTAATTCATTCAATATTATAACAAAAATCACACGAATCGCCGTCACGATTTACAATAAGACCCAGTTGGCAGCTCCATATATGGCGGAATTCGCGGCTTTGCAATGCTAGCGCTTTTTGTTGTTGTTGGTATTTGTCACGTATACGGTCACATTTCTGCACTGTGGAAGCAATTTTTCGCAATTTTGATTCACTTTTTTTTTTAAATTATGTTCTGTGCAAGCCCTAGATAAACGGCTCCAACTCCGGAGAGAGTAAAGGTTGAAATTAGTTTTGCGCACCCAGTTTGAAAGCCGCAAAAACCCCTGGCCCCACAATCGCATCGCCCTGGCAGGCACCACCGTGAGGCAGCAGCAGCAGTCGGCAGCAGCAGCAGTGGAAGCAGGAGGGGAAGCAGGAGGGGGCAACGACGGCAAAGTCTTTTAAGGCAAAGCGAAGCAACGGCGTCACCAGCGCAGCGCCCAACAAAAGCCAGGTAATAAAAAAACAACGCAAGAACAAATATACATAGCTATCCAAAATGAAAGCGAAAGCGTATAGGGGTAGGATCGTTTATGCTTTTTTTTTGCTGCCGGCGTCGCATAGATTATGGAGAGTAGTAACAGTAGCAGAGGAGGGGTGCCCCACATGCTGCCGCAGATTCTCGCATACGCTGCCTGAACTATGGCCCGACCTTGCCCTTCTATCGATTTCCGAAATGTTGCATCAAGAGAGGCAATCCGCACAGCAGATGCACAAATCACAAGTGAAGGTTAAACAATTTCGATCAGGGCCAACAGCCAGAGGCAATGGGCAGTAGCAGTGGCAGTGGCAGCGTCGTCCCCAGTTCTTTGTTTGCACCCACAACCACGACCACAACGACAGCGTCGAGGAGAATAAAGAACAAAAGCGAAATATATATCAGATCAAAAAGAAACAGAACTGAATAAACGCATACATTATTTCTTGTAATTGCATATGCTTAATTTTTTAATGAGATCCGAACGCTAGCCACCACCTCTGACGTCAGGCCTGGCCTCTGGTTGGCCAGTTCTCTATATTTTGCAGGAAATGGAGAGTCCTTGTGAGTCGGAGAGCTCGTTGGATGGCGGCACCATGCTGCCTCCCAGCCCAGTCTCGCGGGAGCAGCTCCAGAAGCGCATCGAGTCGCTCACCCAACAGAACAAGTGAGTAGCCCCATAAATCCTTCTCAGTTTACCCAGATTAATCACCACATTTAGAGTGCTGAAAGCGGAGCTGGACACGTTCAAGACCAAGTGCAAGGTAGTGCAGGAGGAGAATCGATGCCTGAAGCAAGCCTCGGTCATAATTGTTAGTACCTTACCACTCCCATACTACCCAACATATATCGCTAATGAAATGTTTCCTTTCCTGCAGCAAGCCAAAGCCGAGCAGGAGGAGGAGTACATCTCAAACACGCTGCTGAAGAAGATCCAAGCTCTAAAGAAGGAAAAGGAGACCCTCGCCCATCACTATGAGCGCGAGGAGGAGTGCCTCACCAACGATCTCTCGCGCAAACTGGACCAGCTGCGCCAGGAGAAGTGCAAGCTGGAGCAGACTCTCGAGCAGGAGCAGGAGTGCCTCGTAAACAAGCTGATGCGCAAGATCGAGAAACTCCAGGCGGAGACGGACAACAAGCAGACCAATCTGGAGCAGCTGCGCCGCGAAATGGTCGAGCTGGAGAATACCCTCGAGCAGGAGCAGGAGGCGCTTGTCAACAAGCTGTGGAAGCGCATGGACAAGCTGGAGACCGAGAAGCGCTCGCTGCAGATCAAGCTCGATCAGCCGGTGTCGGATCCGACCACACCACGTGATATCACCATCAATGCCAATGGCGGGGACACCGCCACCCATCTGAGCTCCCACATCAAGGCGCTGCGATCGGAAGTGCTGCGTCTGCGCGACAATTTCGCTGCCGCCCAGAAGGAGACCACAATCAAAATGCAGCAGTTCGCCCAGGAGGAGAAGTCCATACGTGAGGAGAACGCCCGACTCCAGCGCAAGCTCAAGCAGGAGGTGGAGCGCCGTGAAGCCCTCTGTCGGCACCTCTCCGAGTCGGAGTCCTCGCTCGAAATGGATGAGGAGCGCTTCTACAACGAAAGCCTGATGGCCGGCAACTCTGCGGCCTCGGCAGTGAATGCCCAGCGACAGCGCACCATCAGCAGTCCCGTCTCCCACAGCCCCTCGAGCAGTCGGCCTCTTAGTCCGGGCACAGCGGGTCAGAACCGTTGCTATGCCTGCGGCCAGCTAGTGGTAAGTGCAACACAGTTTGAAGTGGATTTCATTTTTTTAATTCTCTGACTCTTTTCTTTCGCAGAATCGAAGGGCCAGCGAGCGGTTCATTAAGCCAGCACTGCCAACGCCCATGCTGGGCCTGAACACTTCCGCACCCAATGTGCTGACCACCACAAATCCCCTGATGGGCATGCTGGGGCCAAATGCATCATCGGCCGGGAACGCTGCTGGCGGCTTTCTCTCGAACAGTGAACGACTAAGTTTGGGCGCCCAGCCATCATCAGGGGGCGGCGGGGGCGTCAGCTCCACCTTTCTGGCTGGCGGCGGAGGATTGCTGTCGTTGAACAGCCAGATGGCGTCCAGTGCCTCGTCCTCGTCGTCCAATTTGATGAATATCAGCTTGAATAACTCGTCCGGCGGCAATCTGGTCAACAGCAGCAGCAACTCCTCGCTGTCGGCCTTTACGCCCACCAACCAGCCCAGTGCTGCGGCCACGGCCTTCATCCAGCCGGCCAGCCCCATGGACACTTCCACATACAAGGAGTAGTAGACAGAGACGGGATGGGATCGGATCGGATTTGGATGGCTCCTTGCTCCACCGTTACTCCAATTATTGTCATGACTTATTTTCCCTCTCTGTCACACTCACTCACACACACACATATATATATTCGCTCCCACACACACACACACACCCACTCCCACACACGCATGCATGCATGCAAGCAACCAGTTTAAAGAAAGGAAACCCCAATTATGAAATGAAATTTGAAACGAAAGCTAATAAGATAAAGAAAATCCCTAAACTGTAAGCCTCCTTCCCCCTGGAGCGACTCCAAGTCGCCTCATCTACTATATATACACATACATATATGGAATATATATGTATATGGTTAATATGTATCTGTATGTTCTACTATTTGATCAAAATCTCTCTCAAAAAGTTAATAATATCGGAAGAATTCCTAGGCGGAACATACACGAATATTTAACTACAACAAAAAATCGCTACTGTTTAAGAAATTGAATGTTTTTCTACTTTCGCTCTCGGTTCCAGTTAAGGTTAAGTGAAGAAAAAACAAAAAAGAAAACACGAAAATTGTAAGAATTTATAAAATGGTGAATTCTATTCATGTAAAACCAATTTTCCCACATTTCATTCGTATGTGGGCCTAAAACATTTTGAATTATGTATATTGTAAGCCAACAGAAATAAAGTTCAACAATTTAAAGTTAACTAGCAATTTATATATTAAAATTTGAGTTGAGTTCGAAATTTATGTGATTAACTATATTCAAAAGACCAGTAATGGTTTTTATCGAAAATCGATAGTCCTCTAAAAAAGGATAACCATTGGAGTGCACACACTGTTCACCTTGTACACGTTACCTTATATTAATACACCTTGCTATCTTATGTAACACTGTTTTTTTTTTTGAACTATTTTGTTTATGCCTTGTTTTAGCCAAAATCCAATAAAAGCAAGTATTTCGAATAAGCCAATCATGTATAGAATTGATTCATCAATCGTACAAAATTGAGTGGGCATGGCTAAATGTTCCATATAGATAGTATTATTCAACGGAACAAAGAATTGGTCGTTTTTTGAATCGAATTCGAGTTCGCCGCAGTTCGCTTTAGCAACAATGAGTCCCATTCCATACACAAACATGTTGCTAATTCCATGCACACATACCCTGGGGGAAATGGATGTTATAGAATTGTGAATATGTTTGTCATCCCAGGCAAAAACAATTTATTTTCAATATATTTTAATATAATTCAATATTATTTAATTCAACGATATTTTAAAGCTTATTGTCTTCTTGTAGCGACCATGAATAGGTATCAGGATCGAGATATATATACAAAACACTCATCATATACATGAATATGTCTAAGAAATGTCAATTTGAGAAAAGGTCTTTATTAGTTACGTTTTATCTTCATATCAATATTTATACTTTCATATATAATTAACAAAATAGGGTATACAAAGGCCTATACTACGGCTTACACGCAATATAGCGACACTTTTTTTGTTGAACTTTTTCGTTTGAACCTTTTTTTTACAATAAATACAATAAAAGCATGGATTAAAAACTAACCAATCTTGTAGAAAATTTATTCATCAATAGAATAAAACTATGTGGGCATTGCTGAGAGATTTAGTTAGTCAGCATTACTCAATGGAATATCAAAATTGAGCAATATGAACGAATTTCCTTTTTCGTTTGTCTTGATTGACCTATTTCGCTACTTGTTTTTTGTTTGACTTATTTCGCTAAAACCTTTTTTCACGCAAAACGCAATAAAAGCAAGTATTAAGAATACACCAGTTAAATAGAAAATTGATTCATCAATCGTACAAAATTATGTGGGCATGGTCAAATGTTCTATCTAGCTAATAATATTCCTCGGAATATCAAAAACGAGGAATATGTAGAACTGGAATTCGTCAGTATATTTAAGGTGTATTTTTAAAATGAGACGGTATATTTCTAAGGGTCGGACGGTATATTTTAACGCGGTCAGACTGCAGCACTGCAACATCAACAAACGCCACGACCTATAAAAATTATTAAATTAACTGACACCGAAAATGAATGAGTAATTCAGTGAGAATCAATCGAAATTTATTAGCTAGAAGCACAGGCAAGGCATAAGCAAAAATACTTAATTGTTTGTGATTTAGAGAGCTTCGGCATTGCACTGACGTGGACCTGAAAGATTAGAAACAGGTGAGGCGACATGTGCATGCATTATCTAGATTGAAATCAGTTTGGTACACCTTTTGGCAGACTTCCAATATGTCCACAGCACGGCGGCGGCCCCAGGGTGGCAGTGCGGGCGATGTACAGAGCTACCACCCGAAGGAAAGGCTGGTGGAGAAGGACGAGGGAACGCCGGACATACGCGGCGACAGACGGAACATAGCCATCCTGCTGTTTCTGTATATACTGCAGGGCATACCCATAGGCCTGATAGCCGCCATTCCCATGCTGCTGCAGAACCGGGGAGCCAGCTACAAGCAGCAGGCGGAGTTCTCCTTCGCCTACTGGCCGTTCAGCTTGAAGCTACTGTGGGCACCCATCGTGGACTCGCTTTACGTCCGGAGATTCGGGCGCCGCAAATCGTGGCTGGTGCCGGTGCAGTATCTGCTTGGCGGATTCATGATGTTCCTTTCCTACTACGTGGATCGTTGGCTGGGCGGCGATGGTGTGGAGCCGAATGTGGCGCTGCTGTCGCTGCTCTTCTTCCTGCTCAATTTCCTGGCTGCCACCCAGGACATCGCTGTGGACGGCTGGGCTCTGACTATGCTGAAGCGCTGCAATGTAGGCTACGCCTCCACCTGCAACAGTGTCGGCCAGACAGCCGGCTACTTCCTTGGATATGTGGTGTTCATTGCCCTCGAATCGAAGGACTTTTGCAACAAGTACATGAGGGATGTGCCCCTGAACGAGGGCATGATCACGTTACCACGCTTCCTCTGGTTCTGGGGTATTGTCTTTGTGGTGGCCACCACTCTGGTGGCAATCTTCAAGAAGGAGAATGACATTGAAGATGCCCATACGGAATCTCGCTACACGGAGGAGCATGAGCTGAACATTCGTCAGAGCTACAAGATCCTCTGGGACATGGTGAAGATGCGACCAGTGCAGATCCTAGCCGCCATTCTGCTCACCGTTAAGGTAACCTTCTCCGCATCGGATGCGGTCACCAGTCTGAAGCTCATCGATGCCGGGGTGCCCAAGGATCAGCTGGCTCTGCTGGCCATCCCCCTCATTCCCCTTCAGCTCGTCCTGCCCCTGGTGATGGGTCGCTACACCAACGGCCCGCGTCCCATGGATGTGTATCTGAAGGCCATTCCATATCGAATTCTTCTGGCCGCCGTGGCGACAATTTTCGCCTACGCCACACCTTTTATGGTGCAGAAAGGGCATGTCCCAGTGTACTATTATGTCCTTCTGATCGCCCTGTATGCCTGCTATCAGGTATTCCTGTACTCAATGTTCGTGGCGGCCATGGCATTCTTTGCAAAGATCTCGGACCCCGCTGTGGGTGGCACATACATGACATTCCTCAACACGCTGTGCAATCTGGGCGGCAATTGGCCCAACACGGTGGTGCTCTGGCTGGTGGACGTGCTCACATGGAAACAGTGCACCACCAATACGGATAATACGTGCCTCAATAAGGATGAGCAACAGGTACGAGAAGACTCTACCCACCTTCTGTGGTGTTTTTCAACTAATCTAGTGCCCTCCCTCACTCCTTATAGAGCTGTGAATCGTCACACGGCAATTGCGAGATTACTTTCGATGGCTACTATCTGGAGTCGTTCTTCTGTGTGGTCTATGGCATCATCTGGGTACTGGTGGTGCACAAGTGGATCGTCTATCTGCAGGATCTGCCCGTACGGTCGTGGCTTGTGGTCAAACATAAGTCGCGGTAGCAATTAATCGTGTGATCCGCTGCCGCAACCGCCAACGCCACCTCGCCCGTACAAACCAGCTATTATTTATAGGACTAAAAAGTGTTTGTATTCTGTGTAGGCTAGTGAAATTGAAAATTCCCGCCTTGGTATTGTTTTCGTATAACTTAATAGATTCCATTGGAAATAAAATTAGATTCGACGTCGAGTACAAAGCATAGAAAGATCATAAAAGATAATCCGCGTGAGAATTGCGAATGGGGAGATGTTGGTTTATTCGCTCGATTACACGCAATCATTGTAATCTATGCGGGGGGAGGGAGGGGGATACAAAATTTATGCTTAGCTTATGTGTTTCTAGTAGTACTTCCAAGAGTCGATCGATTCTTTATTGTTTTGTTTGCTCTTCCGCTCAATCAGACCGGCCAAATGCTCCGAGCGCATTGACAGCGAGTCAATCTTCTCCACTAGCTGCTGGTAGGGGCTCAGCGGCTGTGTCCCCATCACCACATGCCCCAGCTTCGAGTCGATCTTGGCATTCAGACGGGCGTTCCGTATAAGGTTGACAATCCAGCACTCGGCCTCATTGGGCTTCATGTTCAGCTTGTCGGCCAGCATGCTGATGGTGATGCACTGGTGGATGCGGCAGAACGTTTCGAAGATCATCAGACGGGCATCCTCCACAAACTCATTTAGGCAGGCCACAATGAAGAAATCGTTGAGGATTACTGTCTGGCACTCGTGCAGCTTCAGGCGAGCGCCCTCGAAGTCAAAGTTTACGTACAGACACTCGAGGAACTCGGTGATGGGGTCACGGTATGTGTACGACTCCTGCTGGATAACCTTGATCAGATCCTTGAGGGCGTTGCGACGGGTGCGATTGATCACAACGGCGGTAGCCAGATAGCGCATAATGTGCGGGCACATGGTCTGAATAGCATTCAGATACAGAGGCTTGTACAAAAACATCTCGATAATCAGATCACGGCCCTTCGGGTGGTTGAAGAAAACCAGGACGGACCAGTGGATCAACCAGGTGCGCTGCTGCAGGGCCTGGATGGTGGAGAAATTGGCACTGTCAATGTAGTCGCGCAGGCGCGTCAGATCCTCCAGAGCCGTGTTCCAGTTGAGGGTCAGAATCTCGGCCGCCAACTTGCCCCACAACACATTCAGATAGTTCTGCAAACACATGGATTAAATTAGAATTTTCGGCTGGATATATTACAAGTGATTGACCCACCTTGTCATTGGGCGACATCACAATCAGACAGAAGTACAAGTACGATGTGGACTCCTGGTAGTTGCCACACTCGTACAGGTACTTGGCCAGCTTGTAGGCACTTTCCAGATGCTCCACCTTGAAGTTGTAGTCCTTTTGCAGGGCATTCACAAAGGTCTTGGAGTCCTTCATGCTCTCGCCGTTCTTGAGAATGTCGGTGGCCTTCATGATGGGCGCCACCTCGTTCTGCAGCTGCTTGAGCGTGGCCAGTACCTCTGCCTTGCGCTGCACCAGCTCATCGGGCATCTCTTGGCTCAGATTGAGACGCTTGCGCGTGTCCATCGTGTAATCAATCATGTTCGTCTTGTTCACCGTCTCCAGGATGTACTCCAACAGTTCCTGCTGATTGTAGATCTGCAAAAATACATTATCCATTAGTTATGCATATTCAATCCACGACCCCAGTACGTCCGGTTCGCTGCGCTGCGGCGCTGGTGACACGGCACCGCAAAAATTTTCTAACCTCCTTGCCACACAAGAATTCCAGCAGCGGGAAAGTTAGATGTCTGTCCAGGAATTGACAGTTGATGCGTGTAAGATCAAAGTTCGCCATATTGTGGGTGTTTTTTGACTTTTTTCACAATAAAATTTCCACGCAAATTACAAGAAAAACACGCGTGCAGGCGCAGTGCTCAGTGTGACCGTAGATTTATCGATGAAATATACGGTCCGACCCTCAGAAATATACCGTCTCATTTCAAAAGACACCTTAAATATACTGACGAATTCCAGTTCTATTATAAATATTCCTCGTTTTTGATATTCCGTCGAATATTACTAGCTAGATAGGCCCTTCAGCCCTGCCCACATAGTTTTATTCGATTAATTAATCAATTTTCTACTTAACTGGCATATTTTAAATACTTGATCTTTTTGGTTTTTTTTATAAACACTCTACACAGTTACTACAAATGTGCTACATAATTGAAGGAAAAAGAGGGTGTGGACAACAGGCACCACGGCCCAGAAAACGTATGCAAGCTAAAACACACCCCACTTGCTCAATATACCTTGCCGAATTTGTCTTCGAGGTATGTTGTCATCTAACCGTCCTCACACGCGAGGTGGGGTTCGTACGAACTTTTCAGGTTACCTTGGCTGTTTTTGTCCATACCCTTTTTAGGGTAGCCCATTAAAAATCACGACTCAGTTTTTCGTCGCTGCTATCGATGAATTATACCTTCTATTTTTCAAAATATACTGTAATAAAAACGAACTTTATGTATATGTATTTCCTTATTATATACCAAAATACCGTAAATATACCTTCATTATACTGTATGGTTAGCAAATGCCAATAAAAACAGTTGAATTTGAAACTTTGAACGTGTAGTAATTGTTTGAATTGATCACTTTTATGAATAAAATGAATACTTTCAATAGTTTGAATATTTATTTCTTCAAATGCTTGCACATAAATATATTCATATATAGCTGTATATATATGGGGGGTATACAAGATGGGTTATATATATATATTTGTATATATTTTTATAAATAGTGGTATTTCCATATAACTGCCAAAGAGGACACTTTTCAACATTTACTTGATCCACTTAGGTACTTCTGCGTTTAAGGGTCTCGGGTTGTAGTTGTAGTTCAAAACACGCACAAACAACATCTACAAAAATGCGTCACGATATCGGGCTTAATACACTTGTTTTTATCGAAATTTTCTGTCGGTCCGGACTGTCTGTATATTTTATATTGATGGAGGTTGGAGATCAGCATACCAATTTCTACGAACAGGCAACATAACTCAAACAACATTGAAAAATAATGCATTCTCTAACATTTTTGTTTTTTTAGTTTTTCTCATTTTCATAACGATAACGGTAAATTTCTAGTTATTGTCCTTATATTTTTGTTGGATATTCGATATAGGTTCTGGATTTCGATTGACATTCAATCTAATTTCATTTCAATAGTTTTGCACGCTTAATTGACTCCTGCCGCATCATTAGCATCATCGTCCTATGGAGGGCACATCTCTCTCTCTCTCTCTCTCTCATTACAAGAAAAGAAAAGAAAAGAAAACTCTACCTTTTCCCCAGCCAGAAAATTACAAAAAATAAAACTAAATCGAAACGGCGATCGTTTTCGTTTTTTGGTTTGGTGTGTAAAAAACTCAAGTCTTTTTGTTGTTGTTTTTAGTGTTAACTAAACTAAAATCGCGAAAATAAAAATCACAAATTGCAATCGGTATAGAATTTCTCTCTAGGCTAAGGGACGATGCACGCACACAAAACTTGATATTGACTGCCGGTGCTGGAGCTCCTTCTTAGGAGGTCCTGATGACGCCGCCGGCTCCTGGCAGTCCGCTGATGCGACCGGTTAGATAGGAATCCACTTGGCGAGCTGCTTGGCGACCCTCGGTGATGGCCCAGACGACCAGCGACTGTCCACGCCGGCAGTCTATAAAACAAAAAAAGGTAGAAAATCAAAGAACATCCCTCATTGAGAGTCCCAGAGAACATACCGCCCGCAGCAAAGACCTTGGCATTGGAGGTACCATACTGTCCATTGGAGGCCTTGATGTTGCCACGCGGATCCAGCTCGAGGCCCAGCTCGGAGGACACTGTCTTCTCGGGTCCTAGGAAGCCCATGGCCAGGAGTATTAGATCGGCCGCAAAGTACTTCTCAGAGCCGGCCACCTCCTGCATGCGCCACTGGCCCGTCTCCGTCTTGGTCCACTCGACCTCGACGGTGTTGACGCCCTTGATGTGCCCGTTCTCACCGATAAACTCCTTGGTGGTGGTGCAATACTGACGCGGATCCTTGCCCCACTTGAGCTTCACCTCCTCGTGGCCGTAGTCGACGCGGAATACTTTGGGCCACTGGGGCCAGGGATTGTCCTCGGCCCGCTTCAGTGGCGGCTCTGGGAGAATCTCAAAGCTGGTGATGCTCTTGGCGCCTTGCCGCAGCGATGTGGCAATGCAATCGCAGCCAGTATCGCCACCGCCAATGATGATCACATCCTTGCCGGCGGCAGAGATTATGTCCTGCTTGCCGCCCAGCTGTTTCTTCTGCTGCGCCTCGAGGAACTCCATGGCAAAGTGGATTCCCTTCAGGTCACGATTGGCCAGCGGCAGATCACGGGGCCATGTGGATCCAGTGGTTAACAAGACAGCATCGTATCTACAGAGGAAACCATTAAAGATTAGAGGCGGATTCCTATATGTGCTGTCAGGTGGATCACTTACTCCTTTAGCAGCTGCTCGGCCTTGAGGTCCTTGCCCACATGCACATTTGTGCGGAATTCGATGCCTTCGTCGGCCATGAGGTCCACGCGACGCTTCACCACCTCCTTGGACAGCTTCATGGTGGGAATGCCATACTGGAGCAGGCCGCCCACACGATCGTTGCGCTCGAAGACGGTCACAAAGTGTCCCGCCCGATTCAGCTGCTGAGAGGCCGCCAGTCCCGAGGGACCGGAGCCCACGATGGCCACTCGCTTGCCGGTGCGCACTTCTGGGATCTCCGCCTTGATCCAGCCCTGCTCGAAGGCATGATCGATGATGGCGCATTCGATGTTCTTGATCGTCACCGCCGGCTCCGAGATTCCGAGGACACAGGAGCCCTCGCAGGGAGCCGGGCAGACGCGTCCCGTAAATTCGGGGAAGTTGTTCGTCTGCAGCAGCTGGCGCAGTGCCTCCTGCCACTCGCCATGGAAGATCAGGTCGTTCCACTTGGGTATGATGTTGCCCAGGGGACAGCCTGTGGAGTTGGACTGACAGAAGGGGACGCCGCACTCCATGCAGCGAGCGGCCTGCACTTTGAGGTTCTTGCGGACATGCGGAAAGTTATAGACCTCGTTCCAGTCCTTCTGTCGATCGGCGGCATCCCGATACGGTGCCGTCTCCCGCTTGTACTTGACAAAGCCGCGCGTCTTGTCCAGGACACGATCGGCACGCTTCTGCTCCAGCGCCACATCCTGGATGGCCTCCTCGATGTCCTTGATGTGCGGCTCGTGCTTGCCATTGCCATTCTCGATGGCCACCGCTGCCTTCAGGGGCTGCTCCACCGCCAGTTGCTCGGCCATGTCCTGCAGAGCCTTCTGGTATTCGTACGGGAAAACCTTCACGAACTTTGCCTGCGATGCGGCCCAGTTGTCCAGCAACTCCTTGGCCACCTTGGATCCTGTTTTCTCAATGAAATCCCCCAGCAGTTTCTTCACAATCTGCACGTCCTCTGCAATCTCCAGCGGCAGCAGCTCCACACTCTCCGGATTCACCTTGGGCTTGAAGGAGCCATCAATATCATAGACATAGGCAATGCCACCCGACATGCCAGCCGCAAAGTTGCGTCCGGTGAGGCCCAGGATCACCACGAGTCCACCAGTCATGTACTCGCATCCATGGTCGCCCACACCCTCGACGACGGCGGTGACGCCCGAATTTCGTACACAGAAACGCTCGGCGGCAATGCCACGGAAGAAGGCTGTGCCCTCGGTGGCGCCATAGAGGCATACATTGCCCACAATCACATTCAAGTGGGACTCAAAGGTGGCCGTGTCCTGGGGGGAGATGACCACATTGCCACCGCACAGCCCCTTGCCCACATAATCGTTGGCATCGCCCTTCAGGGTCACATTCACGCCGCGAGCGAGGAAGGCGCAGAAGCTCTGGCCAGCGGAGCCCTCGAGGAAGATGTCAATGGTCTTGCCAGCTGGCAAGCCAGCTTCGCCATATTTGCTAAAAATGAAGGGAAAAACAAGTGTTAGGATTATCCAAGTTCTAGTCAAGGGATCTAAGATGTACCCACCAAGCAATATGATAGCTGAGAGTGGAGCCAAATGCGCGAGCTTCGTTGTGGATGCGCATCTTGACGGTGACGTTGTCATCGGATCCATTGAAGATCTGCTGCGCCTTGGCAATCAGTTCGTTGTCCATGCGCTTCTCCAGCTGGAAATCCTGCTTCACAGAGCCACCCACAATGTTGGTGCCTGGCCGGAGCTGCAGCGCAGGCTGCAAGAGCAGCTTTAGATCCAAATTACTGGCCTTGGCATCCCGCTGACTGGCCACACGCAACAGATCTGTGCGTCCAATTAGATCTTGGAACTTGCTTATGCCCAAATTGGCCATGATTTTGCGAATCTACGAAAGAGAGAGATTAGCCTTCTATGGGAGGGGATTCCGCAATCCGTGAGCTTACATCTTCTGCCAGCATAAAGAAAAAGTTGATGACATGTTCGGGTTTGCCAGTGAATTTCTTGCGCAGCTCTGGATCTTGTGTGGCAATGCCCACGGGGCAGGTATTCAAATGACATTTACGCATCATGGTGCAACCTTTAGGGAGATGTAGATTCGATAGATTAGTCTCTTGTTGGGGATTGGTGGATTTAGATCCTTCCGTTCTACTCACCCATCACAATCAAGGGCGCTGTGCTGAAGCCGAATTCATCAGCACCTAGAAGGGCGGCCACGACCACATCAAAGCCTGTGCGCAGCTGTCCATCCGCTTGGACAATCACACTGCAGAAGGAGCAGCAGCAGCAGCAACAGCAGAAGGATCACAGGAAGGAGTCCAGACCAGACCGTTTGAGAGTAGGGAAGACACGACATAAAAAGGAACGCAATGTTAGCAAACAAAACAGCGCAAGTTT